CCACATTTAGGCAATGTTTTGAATGAGGAAAGTAGCTTGTGGGTTCCCTGATTACTAAATGGTACTTTATTTTCTGATCGGATACAAATTGGTAGAGCTATGGCCATCGGAAGGAGCAAAAGTGGGGAAGTCAGGACAATTCACAATTTTGCAGTTGTACCCCTAGGAAAAAATTCGAAAAATTTAAAAACCACATTTAGGCAATGTTTTGAATGAGGAAAGTAGCTTCTGGGTTCGCTGATTACTAAATGGTACTTTATATCCTGATCAGATACGAATCGGCAGAGCTATGGCCATCGGAAGGAGCAAAAGTGGGGAAATCAGGACAACCCACAATTTTGTAGGGGTACCCCTAGGAAAAAATTCGAAAAATTTAAAAACCACATTTAGGCAATGTTTTGAATGAGGAAAGTAGCTTCTGGGTTTCCTGATTACTAAATGGTACTTTATTTCGTGATCGGATACAAATTGGCAGAGCTATGGCCATCGGAAGGAGCAAAAGTGGGGAAGTCAGGACAATTCACAATTTTGCAGTTGTACCCCTAGGAAAAAATTCGAAAAATTTAAAAACCACATTTAGGCAATGTTTTGAATGAGGAAAGTAGCTTCTGGGTTTCCTGATTACTAAATGGTACTTTATTTCCTGATCGGATACGAATCGGCAGAGCTATGGCCATCGGAAAGAGCAAAAGTGGGGAAATCAGGAAAACACACAATTTTGTAGGGGTACCCCTAGGAAAAAATTCGAAAAATTTAAAAACCACATTTAGGCAATGTTTTGAATGAGGAAAGTAGCTTGTGGGTTCCCTGATTACTAAATGGTACTTTATTTCGTGATCGGATACAAATTGGCAGAGCTATGGCCATCGGAAGGAGCAAAAGTGGGGAAATCAGGACAACCCACAATTTTGTAGTTGTACCCCTAGGAAAAAATTCGAAAAATTTAAAAACCACATTTAGGCAATGTTTTGAATGAGGAAAGTAGCTTGTGGGTTCGCTGATTACTAAATGGTACTTTATATCCTGATCAGATACGAATCGGCAGAGCTATGGCCATCGGAAGGAGCAAAAGTGGGGAAATCAGGAAAACCTACAATTTTGTACAATTTTGTGTTTTGTACAATTTTAAAAACCACATTTAGGCAATGTTTTGAATGAGGAAAGTAGCTTGTGGGTTTCCTGATTACTAAATGGTACTTTATTTCCTGATCGGATACAAATTGGCAGAGCTATGGCCATCGGAAGGAGCAAAAGTGGGGAAATCAGGAAAACCCACAATTTTGTAGGGGTACCCCTAGGAAAAAATTCGAAAAATTTAAAAACCACATTTAGGCAATGTTTTGAATGAGGAAAGTAGCTTCTGGGTTCGCTGATTACTAAATGGTACTTTATATCCTGATCAGATACGAATCGGCAGAGCTATGGCCATCGGAAGGAGCAAAAGTGGGGAAATCAGGAAAACCTACAATTTTGTAGGGGTACCCCTAGGAAAAAATTCGAAAAATTTAAAAACCACATTTAGGCAATGTTTTGAATGAGGAAAATAGCTTGTGGGTTCCCTGATTACTAAATGGTGCTTTATTTCCTGATCGGATACAAATTGGCAGAGCTATGGCCATCGGAAGGAGCAAAAGTGGGGAAATCAGGAAAACGCACAATTTTGTAGGGGTACCCCTAGGAAAAAATTCGAAAAATTTAAAAACCACATTTAGGCAATGTTTTGAATGAGGAAATTAGCTTCTGGGTTCGCTGATTACTAAATGGTACTTTATATCCTGATCGGATACGAATCGGCAGAGCTATGGCTATCGGAAGGAGCAAAAGTGGGGAAATCAGGAAAACACACAATTTTGTAGGGGTACCCCTAGGAAAAAATTCGAAAAATTTAAAAACCACATTTAGGCAATGTTTTGAATGAGGAAAGTAGCTTGTGGGTTCACTGATTACTAAATGGTACTTTATATCCTGATCGGATACGAATTGGCAGAGCTATGGCCATCGGAAGGAGCAAAAGTGGGGAAATCAGGACAACCTACAATTTTGTAGGGGTACCCCTAGGAAAAAATTCGAAAAATTTAAAAACCACATTTAGGCAATGTTTTGAATGAGGAAAGTAGCTTCTGGGTTCGCTGATTACTAAATGGTACTTTATATCCTGATCAGATACGAATCGGCAGAGCTATGGCCATCGGAAGGAGCAAAAGTGGGGAAATCAGGAAAACCTACAATTTTGTAGGGGTACCCCTAGGAAAAAATTCGAAAAATTTAAAAACCACATTTAGGCAATGTTTTGAATGAGGAAAGTAGCTTGTGGGTTCCCTGATTACTAAATGGTACTTTATTTCCTGATCGGATACAAATTGGCAGAGCTATGGCCATCGGAAGGAGCAAAAGTGGGGAAATCAGGAAAACGCACAATTTTGTAGGGGTACCCCTAGGAAAAAATTCGAAAAATTTAAAAACCACATTTAGGCAATGTTTTGAATGAGGAAAGTAGCTTGTGGGTTCGCTGATTACTAAATGGTACTTTATATCCTGATCAGATACGAATCGGCAGAGCTATGGCCATCGGAAGGAGCAAAAGTGGGGAAATCAGGAAAACCTACAATTTTGTAGGGGTACCCCTAGGAAAAAATTCGAAAAATTTAAAAACCACATTTAGGCAATGTTTTGAATGAGGAAAATAGCTTGTGGGTTCCCTGATTACTAAATGGTGCTTTATTTCCTGATCGGATACAAATTGGCAGAGCTATGGCCATCGGAAGGAGCAAAAGTGGGGAAATCAGGAAAACGCACAATTTTGTAGGGGTACCCCTAGGAAAAAACTCGAAAAATTTAAAAACCACATTTAGGCAATGTTTTGAATGAGGAAATTAGCTTCTGGGTTCGCTGATTACTAAATGGTACTTTATATCCTGATCGGATACGAATCGGCAGAGCTATGGCTATCGGAAGGAGCAAAAGTGGGGAAATCAGGAAAACACACAATTTTGTAGGGGTACCCCTAGGAAAAAATTCGAAAAATTTAAAAACCACATTTAGGCAATGTTTTGAATGAGGAAAGTAGCTTGTGGGTTCCCTGATTACTAAATGGTACTTTATATCCTGATCGGATACGAATCGGCATAGCTATGGCCATCGGAAGGAGCAAAAGTGGGGAAATCAGGACAACCTACAATTTTGTAGGGGTACCCCTAGGAAAAAATTCGAAAAATTTAAAAACCACATTTAGGCAATGTTTTCAATGAGGAAAGTAGCTTCTGGGTTCGCTGATTACTAAATGGTACTTTATATCCTGATCAGATACGAATCGGCAGAGCTATGGCCATCGGAAGGAGCAAAAGTGGGGAAATCAGGAAAACCTACAATTTTGTAGGGGTACCCCTAGGAAAAAATTGGAAAAATTTAAAAACCACATTTAGGCAATGTTTTGAATGAGGAAAGTAGCTTGTGGGTTCCCTGATTACTAAATGGTACTTTATTTCCTGATCGGATACAAATTGGCAGAGCTATGGCCATCGGAAGGAGCAAAAGTGGGGAAATCAGGAAAACGCACAATTTTGTAGGGGTACCCCTAGGAAAAAATTGGAAAAATTTAAAAACCACATTTAGGCAATGTTTTGAATGAGGAAATTAGCTTCTGGGTTCGCTGATTACTAAATGGTACTTTATATCCTGATCGGATACGAATCGGCAGAGCTATGGCTATCGGAAGGAGCAAAAGTGGGGAAATCAGGAAAACACACAATTTTGTAGGGGTACCCCTAGGAAAAAATTCGAAAAATTTAAAAACCACATTTAGGCAATGTTTTGAATGAGGAAAGTAGCTTGTGGGTTCGCTGATTACTAAATGGTACTTTATTTCCTGATCGGATACGAATTGGCAGAGCTATGGCTATCGGAAGGAGCAAAAGTGGGGAAATCAGGAAAACCTACAATTTTGTAGGGGTACCCCTAGGAAAAAATTCGAAAAATTTAAAAACCACATTTAGGCAATGTTTTGAATGAGGAAAATAGCTTGTGGGTTCCCTGATTACTAAATGGTACTTTATTTCCTGATCGGATACAAATTGGCAGAGCTATGGCCATCGGAAGGAGCAAAAGTGGGGAAATCAGGAAAACCCACAATTTTGTAGGGGTACCCCTAGGAAAAAATTGGAAAAATTTAAAAACCACATTTAGGCAATGTTTTGAATGAGGAAATTAGCTTCTGGGTTCACTGATTACTAAATGGTACTTTATATCCTGATCGGATACGAATTGGCAGAGCTATGGCCATCGGAAGGAGCAAAAGTGGGGAAATCAGGACAACCCACAATTTTGTAGGGGTACCCCTAGGAAAAAATTCGAAAAATTTAAAAACCACATTTAGGCAATGTTTTGAATGAGGAAAGTAGCTTCTGGGTTCGCTGATTACTAAATGGTACTTTATTTCCTGATCGGATACAAATTGGCAGAGCTATGGCCATCGGAAGGAGCAAAAGTGGGGAAATCAGGAAAACCCACAATTTTGTGGGGGCACCCCTAGGAAAAAATTCGAAAAATTTAAAAACCACATTTAGGCAATGTTTTGAATGAGGAAAGTAGCTTCTGGAATCATAAGGAAGACTGATGTTTTCGATTGTTAGAAAAATTAAATGAAACACCATTGAGTTTTATATATTCTGTTTTTGTTTTTATTTTTATTATTAATATTGTTATTTCATCTGACTTTGTCCGCTTTCTTGCGTTAGGGTTACTCATAAATGTCGTTAATTTCGTACAATGGCTATTTAAACCGTGCCTATTTCGTAATCCTTTTTTTTGTTTTCTTTTAGGTATTAGTTTTAGTTTCTTTTCTTGTTTTTTGTCTTTGCTACACCACACATACATACATAAATAAAAACTTAAACAGAGTTACTGCACACACATTATTTTTTATATATATATTTAAATATATATATATATACCTGTTGACTACAGAAAAAAATATTTATTTTTGTTTTGTTTGTTGAATTTGTAATATTATTATTATTATGCATTATATTATGGGCCATGTGTCGCCGACTTCCGATTTCGTCCCAAGTTGGAATATACATATATTTTTTATAATTACGCGATCCGGATAAGATAGGATCCCAGAAAGAAGAAAGTTGAAAGGTGAAATTTGATTTTGTTACGATCTACGAAACCCAATTTCGAAATCGGGAATCGGAACCGCGGCTCCATATATGCATATATGTTTATATATATTGTATGTATAATTAAGTATATATATTTTTTTTAGAATCTTTCAAGTATTTAACATTGTGTAACATAGTTTTTTTGTTTTATTTTTTTTTTGTTTGCTATTTCACTTGACGTCTTCAGTTTTGAACATAAACTTATTTTTCTTTTCATTTTCGGATCTGGTTTTGCTTCCGAAATTCTTTTATATAGATTTCTATATATATTCTATATCTTTCCCAAAAAAAAACTCAACCATTTCGGTTCGTTTTTTTTAAATAGTTATTTTTAATTTTGGTTGGAATCTGAAACCAACTGCCCCGCCCACTCTTACTCTTTTTTTTCTAGACGACGTTTTTGTTTTTAATAATTAATTACAACAACATTTACTTGGGTTTTTCCTTTTTTTTTTTTGTAATCTTAATCTAATGCATTTTTTGCCCTTTTTTCTATTTGTATTCGTTTATTTGTTTTTATTTTTATGTTTTCCATTATTTTACAGTGCTTAAAGTTGGCTACATTATTAATTTTTTTGTTGTTTTTAACAATTTCGCTCATGGAGTTTATTTTTTATTTTTTACGCTCTTCATCATCATCATTCTACTCCATTATTATGTTCTTTTATTTGGCAATGACGTACTGATTTTGTTGTTTTTTTCTATTCGGGTTTTCTATTATTTATTTCGCTTGGCTTCCATTTAAATCTTTTCCATTTAAAATTATTTTTATTAAGTACGTTTCAATTTATAATTTATGTGTATGTATATCCGTATAGTATGTATTTATATAAAGTAAATAGATTACGTAATTGCAACACTTTGCATCTGATTCATCTCGTATTTGCATCTGTATCTCTGAATCGGTATCTCTGTATCCGTTTCTGAGTATCTGTATCTGAGTAGATACATCTACACCGGATTGTTCTGGCTCTGTTTAATATTATGGAATTATTACACATTTTATTGGGTATACATGGGATATATAGATGGTTTTATGTATATTTCTTTATTCTTCTGGCCCATTTACAATTTCAATTCTCCCCTTTTTGATTTGCTTTATTTATTTGTTCCATAAATTAAGGAAGTGCTAGAGCTTAGCTTAAAGTTTTAACCAAACAAAAAAAAAAAAAAAGAATAGAATATCTTTACAATATAAGTTATTTAAAAAAAAAATAATAAAAATATATATCATTGAACAACAAATTGTTTTGTGAACGTAGAGGTTGGATTCTGGATTCTGGATTAGGCGACGGACGTTTTAAAAGAACGTTTTTTAATTTTACCCATTGTTGAAATTATACAATATATATATAGAGGGAAGGGTCTAGGGTAGGTAGAGGGAAGGATATCCGATCCGATGGCGCTCAATTGAAAATTGTATTTACAAAGAGTTTGGAATGGGTTATGGGCTGCTGGTGGACAAAGACGGGCGGCGGATGGTGGCGGTAGCGTTGCCGATACCGAGGCCGATGGCGGATATATCTTCATTATGACTCGTCGCGGTTGTTGTGCACCCACTGTGCCGGCACCCACTGCGGCTCCCGCTCCAGCGAGTTGATCTCCGCCAGCAGCTGATGGTAGGCCCGCTCCGTATCATTGTTGATGATGATCATATCGAATAGATGACCCCACCTGGCCTCCATATCCCTAGCCGTGGCAATGATGTCTTTGAGCTCTTCTTCCTGTTAACAAAAAATCATTAATTAGTCATATGAGTCCATCCTCTGGTTTGGCCAAAGCTCACCTTGAAGGGTTCGCCGTTGCGCAGCTTCTTCTGGCGCAGCTTGTCCAGACTGGGAGGTGCCACCAGGACGACATACGGCTTCAGATCGGAGGCACGCAGCAGCTTGAGGCTCTGGGGATGCAGATTCAGGACACAGATCTTACCGCTGGCCACCACAGTGCGTATGGCCTCCAAGGATGTGCCTGGAATTGGAAAAGGGAGTTGTTAAAGATACTCTTCAGCCATCCTTGTTGTCCAAATGCTCACCATAGTAGGCCTTCTCGTACTCGCCGTGCTCCACAAATCGTCGCGCCAGGATGTCGGCCTCGAAGGCCTGTCTGGTGATGAAATGATAATCCACGCCGGGTACCTCGCCCTCTCTGCGAGCTCGGGATGTGTCTGGAGAGACAAAAAGGACATAAAATAAAGAGTTAAATATGAATATAAAATACAGAAGAGAGTAGGAGCTGGAGGGATGATGGAAAGAGGTCCTAACTAGCAGTGGAGGAGGACTCAGGACATGGGAGTTGAGCAGCACTCTTTACCCTTGACCTGAGCCTTGGACTTGGCTGGCTTCAGACGTTCCTCCAGCAAGTAGAAGACTATCAGAGACACAAAGAGTCCTTTTAGCAGAAGAACGGAAGACTATCTTCGGTTTGAAGACCACCGAAGCCCATCAGGGACTCCAACACTTACGTGGCACGGCGGCGGAGAATCTTTCCGAGTCGGCCATGAGCCGTTGGCGGAGCTCGTGTCTTCCGATATTGGGCGGACCGATGAGGACGATGGGTCGTTTGTGGGTGGCACGGGGATAGTACAAGGCCACCTCCTCGTAGGTGAGTATCTCCTCCGGATCTGTTTCGTCCGGTGCCGTGGTGGCATACAAAGGATATCTAAAAATATAAAATTTTTTATAAAAAAAGTTTATACCGGAAAGAGTAATGATGGACTCACCCCGCCTCCGAGCTGGCCTTCTTCTTCTTTTTGCGTCCCTTGCGGGCACAGAGCAGGGTGGCTCCTTTGCTGCCGGATCCGTCCTTGCCACGGGACCTCGCCAGACCAGCCTCCTCGGCAATAGCCAGCTTCATGGTCTCGCGCTGGTGTTGGAACGACTGACTAGGAATGAGACCGGCCAGCGTCTGGTCCTCCTCGCCCTCGCGATACGCCTGCCACCAGTTGGGATCCTCCCGGCTGATCACGTGCAGGACATCGCCCTTCTGGAAGCTGATGCCCAGCTCTCGGCAGGGTATATACAGATCATCCTCGGGATCGTAATCGAAATGGGCGCGGACATGCAGCACGGCAGTGTCCCGATGGGCGCCCGGTCCGGAGCCAAGTCCGGACTGCGGGCCACCGACCAGGCCGCCGCCGGGTGGGGGACTTCCCGCCGGCACGATGAGGAAGGTGAGGGTGCCCTGCATGGCTCCCAACAGAGCGCACACCTCGTTCACCGTCTTGCCGCGCAGCTCCTGGCCGTTGACTTCCAGGATCTCATCGCCCTCGTGCAGGAGGCCTGACTTTTCCGCCGCTCCGCCCCGCACTATCCGGCCGATGACCACCGCCTCGCCCTCGTTCCGCACGGTGGCGCCCAGTGGCTCCGTGGACTTCTCTATCTGGATGATCCGGATGTTGTCGTTCTGGTCGTTCAGCGTCCCAAAACAAGCACTCATCGGCATGGCCAGCGGATTGGCGGACACTGGCGGCGGTGGCGGAGGCGGGGGCGACTCCCCGCGTGGCAGGGGCATTGCACCGCGTTGCGCCAACGGCGGCGGCACCACTGGCGGCGCCACCACCATGCCCAGGTTGCGCTTCGCACTGGTTACCGGACTACTGTGACCGCTCAGCGTCGTCGCCGCCGGCGGCTGTTGTCCCGGCGTTGGCGTCACCGCCGACGTGGGCGTGCCCGCAGATGTGGGCGAGGGCGTGCCGTCCGTATGATTGGCTATGCGATCGTGGGCCAGGAGTAGTCCCTCCATTTCGTGGCTGGTCAGCAGGTTGCCCAGTTCGATGGCGGCCGCCGTATTCGATTGCGTCAGCAGCTCCACGATATCCTTTTGCAGGCCGAGGGCGCTGTGATGCAGGGGTCCGGCGACGCGGGGACGTCGACGCTGCAGCACGGCCGTCCTGGCGGCCAGGACGTGGGCCACACTGGCACTGGCCAGGACATTGTGGGCGGCCGACACCCGTCCGGCCAAAGTGCTCAGGCCACTCTTGCTCAGTTGATTCTGGAGGCGTGTCAGGGCGGCAATTAGTTCTCCATAACCTTAAAAATAAATTTTAAAAATTAATAAATTTTATATTAAATTAATTATATATTTTTTAATATTTCTACCCACCGTCTATCTGCTCCTGTGGCGCCTGCTGATCCTCATCCGGCAGATACGCCTCGTTTTCCACGCCCACCGCTTGGGGCATTTGCTGCTGGTGGGCCTGCTGCTGGGCCACCGCCTTTCCGGGCGTGGCTGTGGTGTCCTGGAGTGCCTTGAGTTTCCTGGAGCCACGCAGACTATTCCGCAGGAATTCATTCTGCTGGGCAATGCGCTCTTCCTCTTCGCGTCGTCTTCGAAGTTGCTCCTTTTTTGGAGAAAAAAAATGCATAAAAATTAATTTTAAATTAAAGTTTCGATATCTGGGATTTGAAATTGCATCGGGGAGCTGTTAACAGAGGGGGCGGGGTGGGGTAAGTGGGTCCCTGACTCTTAAGTGGCACACTTAATCCGCATTTGCGGAAAGGGGCACTAATTTAATTAGCAAACAAGGCAAGACACAAATGCTAAAGACTTGCAATATACCCTGTATTCTAGTTAAATATTATATAAGTAAGGGAAATGATATAAAATTAAGACTATAAATAGCTTAAGAAAGGATTTATATTTAAAATAAACCCTTAAGTTTTATAGTGTTTATTCTTAAGCTTTAAAAGATATTATATGATATTGTAAAATACAAAAGCTATATATAATTTAAAAGATATATAGTATCTATAGCTAAGTTTTAAGTTTCTAAAACTTTTATATAAGTTATATTTCATCTAAATATCTTAAAATTAATTAAATTGCATTATTTTTTAAGCTATAGACCTCTAATAAATTTTTAAAACCTCATAATAATGTTAATTTTTTTTTAATATGGTCACAGGTTCTTCAAAATCCATAAAAACTAATTTATGGAAATGGAATCAATTAATTTGGTTTCCTCATAAAGATATCTATCTATTATAATGATTTCTTTATTAAACTTGACACAAATATTTAAAAGGCAGCTGATTATATAATATAATAGATTGAGCAGCAACCACTTGAATGTCTAGTCCAAACTACCCAGCAATATTTGGCGAGGGTATCGATGCGGCTGCAATGGCCCAGAACGCAACCAAGGGGTTCTGATTCAGGTGGATGTGGGTTAGGTATTTTTGTGCAGATATGGTGAGGTGCGGAAGGGGGAGGGCTGGGCCAGTTGTTGGGCAGACTAGCAGGTGGGCGTGGCAGTGGCAGTGGCTGCTAACCAAGCACAAATCCCGTCGAGGGCCTCGGCGATGAGTTAATGAGCGTAAAGGGTTGACAAAGGGAACTGGGGGATAACTGTTGCAATTGTTGCGGAAACCCCTTAAGTGCTCCCCATTCATTCAACAGTCGGGTGGAGGGGCGGTGGGGAGGTGGTACGTGGGGGCGCGAATGTCGTGGGTGGACACCACCAGAACCTGACCACAACCGTGCCGCCCTTCCAGTGGCTTGCCAACTGTAAGTGTTATTCTTCAAGGAAATGTCAGGCGTCCCCGAAAAAACATCTCAAGAATTCCAATCCGTGACCAACAATGGGCCACAAAACATGACACAAAAAAATCAAAATCGATGAGAACAAAAAACAAAAAGTTCCCACTACAATTTAAGGGAACAAAACAAAGACCCCAAAGTATAAAAAAAAGCAGAAAACTTAATTAAATAACAACAGAAAAGGCAGAAAAAGACGCTCGACATTCCAAAAGGCGGAAGAGAACCAAGGCAGAAAGTTGAAGACCAAAATAACAATACCGAAACAACTACAAAAAAAAAGCAAAATTAATTCACAAATTCTGCTGAACTTGCATAATCCGAGTAGCAAAACAGCAAAACCCAAAACCATGGCAAAGAATCAGCAAAAAAAAATTTCAAGAGCATTCGCAAGAGGGGCGGGAAATCTTAAGAAAGGTGGAGGCCTCCTTGTCTCGTCACCCCGTCGACCATCATCTGGCCCGGCCACTACCATGTGAACCAAAAACTGAAATTTAACATTGAAAGTGGAGTTAAAAAAATGCTAAAAAAATAAATATACAAAAACCATTTCCTTCAAGTCAATCAGCATCTTCAAGAGGCTTCAGAAAGGTGGGAATACTTGCTACAGTTTTAGAGTAATTCTTTTAAAACTGTGCAATAGTTTATGGAAGAGTTTGAAAAATATTCTTTGTAATAAATACTCTATAATATCATTCATATAGCTCTATTTCTTGTTAAAAAATCCACAAAAACACTCTTCACTGAAAAAATTCTTTTAAAAAAAACCTGTCTATCAAATTTCTATAAACTCCCACACCTATAAAAATATAGAAATAGAGTTAGATTTCATTCTTGCTATAAACTCATATATAAATAAACATTCAGTACCACCCATAACCATATTTATTTCTAGACTTTCCTAGAGTTGTTGGCGTTTTGCGGCAAAAGCCATCAATCATTTTACTACAAAAACAAAGACACCTTGAGTAATGAAAAAAAATACTCGTAAACTACTTCAAAAAATAGCAGAGAACCTTAAAAAAAAATCAAATAAAATTGTTGACGGCAAAACCATGACATCATCATCATCATTATCAGCATAGCAATTGTTGGCCAGGCCAGAAAAAACAAATATTCATATAAATAAGAAATATTGAGAAAGAAAATATGCCGCGTACCGAAGAAAATTAAAAATATATTACTGCTTTGCTTAAATTGCTCTAACTTTGTTTACAAAATGGGCTACCATGGCTAACACAGCACGTTGGCCTTATCTAAATTGGTAAGAGTATGTGGATTTTCTGGTTTCTCAAAGGTATTCCCACTATCTAACGTCTAAATTGTTTTTGCCTTTTTTTTTCGTTTTTAATTTTTTTTTTTTTTTTTAATGGCCCGGCAGCCTGTTAGCCAAGTTGTCAACTGGTTGTTGTTGCTTTTGTTGTTTTTGTTGTTATTGTTTTAGTTAGGCATTTATGCAGATAAAGCCAGTTGCTGGCTAGCCATTAAAGACAATGTTGCTGCTGTATACAAATATTTTTGTACACACTTATAAGGAAAGAATGCAATGTTTTCTAAAAATATTTCTAACTAAAAACTATATAGTTTTCTCTTTTAAAGTCTATAGTTATGATTTAAAATACTATTCCTTCGAAAAATCATATCTTAGAAACTTAAAATACATTTCTTAAATTTAAGAAAATAATATTAACTATATAGATTACATATTCTCCAAATCCTTCTAGGATTATTCCAAAACTTGCCTGCTGTTGTCGCAACCGAGTCGAGGATCTTTGTATTTGAATGCCGCGTCTCAGGGCGGAGGAGCTGCGTTGGGGCGTGGCCGTCGAGGAGGCAATAGACGAGGCCGGTGATCCCACCACAGCCATACCCATTATACCCATACCTATGCCCCCCGTACCATTGCCATTCATATCACAATAGTCGCTATTGTTATTATTCTGATGATGGTTCTCTTTTTCATTCAGGTGATATTGCGGGGAACGAGTGACGCACTTAGCGGGTGTCGACTGTTGTTGGCTATTCGGAGAAGCAACCGTCGGTGTCGTATGATCCCCGGCAGGTGAGCCCGGGCCACCGGTTCCGTTGTTCTCCAGTGTTATGTGCAACGTGGATACAACCATTTTCTTTGTTTATTTTTAAGTCTTTTTTAAACACTTTCATCGAATTTTAATTTCTAGAGCAATGCAACGAAATGAAATTATTATTGTTGGCTGTGACAACTAGTAGCTGCAACACCAACACCAACATCATCATCATTATCATCATCATCATGTGGTATGCAATATGCAAATGGCCACGCCCACACCTGGACGGTGCATAAATTTGAATTGGGAATCGGAATTGGAATCGGAATTGTGTGCCCGGCATTAGTTTGTGTGTGTCTTGTGCTTTCTGTGTGCTGTGTGCTCCACAAAATGAAATGCAACTTAATGCGCATTTCCAGTCAAATTGCTGCCGTGCTGCTGCTGCTTTGGCTGCTGCTTTTGCTTTTGGCTTAAACGGATCAAAAAAGCCATAAAAAAGCGAAAGCTGACCTGGCCAAAATAGTTCTCTGCATTCTCTAAGGCAGCCACAATACACAGCAAATAAATGCTATTGAGTTTTTAGGCGTTTTGGGCTTAGACTGCTTTTATTTATGTTCTTAATTGGGTTTTGAAAACTCTAAAATAATATTTTTTTTAATTCAAGAATTTTTATCAAGCCATTTTTAAGCAAAAGAAGCTTAGAAGCTTAAAAAGCAATAACTTTCATCTCTAGTTCGTCTATATAATATAGAAAGAGTTACATAGCTTCAAACTTTAAGCTTTAAATCTTGATTTTAAAGAATTTTAAACCTTTTTTTAGCCACTTTATGGTAGATATTCCTCAAATAATAGTTTTAAGCTATAAAAAAAAATCTTAATAAATTCTGAAAAACATTTTCCGTCTAATAACTTTAAAAAAATCCATTTCCCAGCCCTTTTTTTTATTTGTATATTATTTTTGAATACTTTTATACCCCTATTTTTCCTCTGTGTAGCCATTGCAATATCACACAACCAACATGAAACACATATCGTATCGTATATCGTATTATATATACAATTTCTAACAAAAAACGAACAATTCCCGGCACAGCTTTCCATTCAACGAATGCTCGTGCAATTTACAAACTATTTACTTTTACACATTTGTTTATTTGTTTATTTATGGCCTTTTTTGTTATTGTTTTTTTTGTTAACTCTTTTTTTTTGTTGTTGGTATTTTTTTTTTTGTTTTTTAGACGTGCCTGGCCTGAGGAATGAACCGTAGAGCAACTGAATTGCTGCTGTTGACGCTGCATTTACGCTCGACACATTAATAACAATAAGCAGTACAAACTCAGACGCACATTCACACTCACGGCAAAGTCACATACATATATAGAATATATTGTATATATATAAAAAAAAAACAAAAAACATTTCAACTGTTTATCATTTATATTGAAATTTTTCAGTCGCCAGTGTAGATATTTCCAGTCGAAAGAGGCAACAAATTAATGGAAATGACTCAGAGACAAAGTTCAAAAGCAAAGAGCCGATCATTTCCATTGAGGATGATATTTTTTTATTGGATATTACGTATCGGAAATGAAGTTCTATATTGTAACTTTAACAATTTTATTATTTGAAGCAATTTTATGACGTTGGTTACACTTTAAAGCTTCTTTTGGTCACACTTTTTTTGCATCAAGCCCAAGTCTTCATGTCATTTTTTTTTGAAAAGTTATTCCTCTCTTTGGTGGCACAAAAAAAACTTGTCTGCTGGTTACACTTTTTG